GGGTGGGTAGAAAGTTGAGTAGCTGCTGCTGGTTACTTATACTTTCAACTTGGCCGCGACGTGGGAGTAGTAAGACCTGGCCGCGATCAGACTTCATATTATAGCGCCATGATTGAGCAGGCGCAACGCCACATACCTAAAATGGTACGCAGATCGTCTCGTGAGCTCCTCGCTGTTTGGTACAGCTTGAAGAATGTTCCAAGACGTTCTGCGCGTGCTGCGCAGAAGGACGGCAGTCAGTGCGTATTGGTGAGACTGTATCGGGCATTATAGGCAGGATGGGGGTGAGAGACGAGCTGGCAGGGGGATTGAATGATGTCCGCAAGGTGCGCGGGACCGCGGCATTTTGTATTGAACGCATTTGATCTGGCGATGGCGATCCATTCAGAATATTGATGTTAGAAGTACCCTTACAGTGCCATAGCTTAACGGCCTCAGCCCGACTACTGAGCTTCACCTATGTTCCGCGAGATCGTGGGTTCAAGCCGGGACGGTGGTAGATAGTTATTTTGCGCGCCTGAAAAACTCCGAGGGGTTCCATTAAATATGTCCACTAGGAATGCCTTTTTTGGCTTTGGATATTTCACGTCGCTCACGACTGGTATCTTGTCCGTAAAGAGTACAGAGAAATTTATCCGCGACAGAGAATTTCGACGCCGCGTGCTGGCGTGGATCAGGCGCGAGAACGATGTCCGAGGCAAGCCCGAGGCGACGCGCAGTTGGACAGGCCCGCGCCGTCCTTTACGTTCACGCTTCATCCATCACTTTGGGTATATTCCCTCACTGACTCGCTAGAAATACTGCCGTTGCTCACAGAGGACCTATGCTTCTTTCTTGCTCCCCTCGTTGTCTATCCTCCATCTTTCCCTGACAACTTGGCAATCTCGCTGGTGGTAACTGAACATCACACATATTGATAGGCAGTCAAATGTTTGTATGTGATGAAACAGTCATGTGAAAAAATAAATCTATCTTCAAAAGACAATGAAACTTGAAGCGCCGTAAGACACGACTTACACCCAGCGCTCGATGCTGCCATTTCCCACGAGTCCCCTGGCGCCATTCATGATGTAACTAGTCCCCTGCCTCGCACTAGCTCGTTTGATATACTCCTCAAATGACAACTTGAAGGTCACTAATGAGTGCACAACCCGTCCACGAAGCGGAGGAGATAAAAGTACTCCGATGTTGATATCTCGCCGAAGTCGAGATCCAGATTTGTGACGCGATGTCCACACGCGTCACGCTTCTTCAGCATCTCGCCCAATGGGCGGCACATTGGCGGGAAGTAATCAGGACCATCCACATCGACCAGGAAATCATGGTCCGATGATAGGTATAAGTTCTGAAGTGCGGGGCAAGGCGGCGGAGATGGGTTGGCAGCGTGGGGAAAGCCACCCAGGAGCATGAATGCCTCAGGATCTCTGCAATGTCCCAGATGGAGGGTTTGAACTGCCCGGAACGGCACGTATAAAGGATCCAGGCCGTGGACTTGAAGATAACCATTGATGTCATCGCCATCAAGGGAGAGCAGTGAGATTTGGGAGAGCTTGAATATAGAAGCGAAGCACGCCACGGCATTCGCAAGCTCTCGTCCCGTCCATTCGTCAAGGGTCATTTCGAACGAGGAGACACATGACCACTTTGAAGGCGACTTGTCCAGAGAACAAGCAGCGCCTATTCCACATTCAGCACGGTAGAGTCGAAAGCGAAACCAGAATGCGTCTTCATCTTCATCTTCACCCGCTGTTATCTTCAGCGCTGACACCGGCGGCAGAGCACGATTGTCAACAGCTAGAACATGGTTCAAGAACACTCTCGTATCTTCGACTTGAGTCATGAACGAATTGGCATCGAGCTCCATTCGCGCGTCGTCGAAAGAGATTGTGATGGAAGTCGAGGGCGGTATGTTGATCATTCTCCAGAATCGAATGATGGAGGTACGGTCCTGCGCTAGTCCAAGCGCCGAGAGCCATGGGAGAGAAATGGGGTTTAACTGCTCTTCTTCGTCGCCTTCTGCCCAACTCGGGATGCAGCCACGAAGGGCCAGTACGCGAAGATTGACACAGGATCTTAGGAAGTCAAAAAAGTGCGTGGTCGAAGGAGGCGTGGAATGCCTGTACGAGATATGTAGCCCGAGTGTTGTGAGATTGGTGAACCGAAGTACACGGAAGTCCATCGAAATGTCTGAGAGGCGCAAGTGCCGTAGGTTGGGTGCTGAGAAGGTCTGTGGCAATAATATGACTGAGGACCCGTCAAACGAGGTCATCAAGTGCATTGATTCTATGAGAGGGAGATTGCGGTGTAACTCGTGGATGATGGTTCCAATCGACGCGCGGCCTGTGGCCTCGATAGCTTGTGCCTGATGGACGTGTCGCGCGGCGAGCTCCCAAAGGGATTCCCGAGAGTAGTAGCTGAGAAATATCTTGATTGGGGTGCCATGCGCCCGCTCCAGAAATCTCTCATTGGCGATGACATCCCATGCAAAGGCTTGGCTTCCCCAGAGCACGGGCATACTCAGAAGGTTGAGCCGAAGGTCATGACACACATGTCCGAGCGCCATCCACATCTTCGTACGACCATGCTCTCTGACGACCCAGTCAACGACGAGATCGATGATCAACCGTACAATCTCCGGCGGCAGGCGCAAGAGAGGACATCGTAAACGGTTGAGTCGTCGGCTGGAGCGAGCGACAAGAGTACGGAGTGCATCAATATCATTCGACAGCATAGTCTCAACGATATTCCGGCCGGTATGCGTGGATGACCAGACAGAGTTGTCGAGGTATTGCAATCGACGAACTACGGATACCTCGACGGACTCCGCTGTAAACCTGTAAAACTCGCGTCAAGATTACAGTGTTGTGCAGATACGGCAACCCTTGACTGACGGCGAATAATCGATATCCATGTACGGCCGAGTACGCAGTGTTGGATCTGGTCAGAATCTCGAGTCAACGAGGAAGTTAGTCGTGAGGGTCAAAGGGAAGACGTGTCAATCCACAGGTGCCCCTAGCTCGTTCATCGGCCAATAAACACCGACGGCTATGACACTCATATCCGCCCTTTATCCGGTGTCCACATTAGACACCACCTTCACCGGGCAATTGCTTCCCGACGGGAGGCTGTGGTCAGCCTGCAGATAGACCTACTTTGGTATAGATGACCCCGCCGAACAAGTGAAGAATCTATGTGGAAGGTACAAGGGCTCCGTACGTCGTAGGCCATCAATATATAGGTTCGTACAGGCTTGGGAGGGGCGGAAAAGGAAATGATATAATCAGTGATGGTCAATATGCAAGCATGTATCTTCACAGGCTCATGAGGCAACATACTACGAACGAGCCGTAGGAAACCTCGGAGAAGCAACCCAACCAAATTTGCGCTTAGTCTAATCGCAAACCTGCGGCACTGAGGCATGAGATATATTTGTGAATTTCGACGCCGGCGACGCGATTTCACACACGGGCGTTCTTGACATGATTTAGTGCGGACCCCACGAGCCCTCCCTCCATTCCATTCCATCTGGTGCGGTCCTTCATGGCATCATACGGACCTTGAGTGTCGGTCAGTAGGCCACATGCGTGGGGAGAGACAAGAGGAGACTTGCCTGTGCGCGTTCGGCGACCGGGGACGCGGCAGAACCACATGCCGTAGTTGGGATTTGGCGTCGCACACATTCACCTTCTCTGGTTCACGGGCTAACATCCGGCAGGTGACGCCTGGTTTGCTGAAGATAGCGATAACTGAAGACCGTGACAGTACGGCTTCCTGTTGCGTTTTGTCGCATATGCGGTATTGATCGTCGTGGGAAGCCCTTGCCCACTCGCGCCGGCGTAGCTTCGGCAACATCATCATCGCCTTTCTGACACATGGAACGACTTCGCGCTCAAGACGGGAGAGAGTGCGAGCAGCTAGAACTCTTGTCACGACCACACTGGGAGAAGTGACGGAGGCGTTGCGGGTTGAAAGGCGAATGCGAACGGAGGTATGCCTTGTGGAACGAATGCCACGGAACCTCGAATTCGAAGCAGAAGATGACGCCGATGAGCGGACCATCGAAAACGCGAACAAACGCGCCATACAAGAGACATTGTTTAGCGCGAGAGTGTCTTGAGGTGGATTCAAGAAGAAGTGACAATAAGGCGCTATCCGCGCGCCATGGTGGACGGCTGTATCTCAGCGGGCACCTGCATCTAGTACGACGGATGGTCCTACATCGAGAGTGTCTGTCTTCTGCGCGGCGGATAACCGCAACGGGCTTCCGCGCCCGACGAGGCGCCGTTGGCTCTGCCAGGCGAGCGGGAGCGAGCGAGCCGGCGAACCCTATTCTGGCGGCCGCAGCGAGAAAGGCCTGTCGA